TCCACTCAAAAGGGGGCGGGAAATTTTGCCAAAACTTTGTGGCGCTTGAGGTCTGATTATACAAAAACCGTAGCAGTTATCAACATGCCGTCTTCAGTTTTATGCAGACGAAGGATTTATCTACAAACTGAGCTTTAAACTGTTTTTCTACGTGAATGTATGCCAACACAGTGAAGCGCTGTTTTTTATGCTGTTTTTTTCCTCTCCCCATTCATTTCCTATGGGAATTTTTTGCGACGTTTTCGCTAATAATTCGCAAACCTTCGGACTAATGAGAAAGTTTTATACAAGCACGCATCGCCCCATTGGTCTCTACGCGTGTGCCAACTTTGGGCCCGATCCGACGAATGGTGCGTGACTAGTTACGCGCCGAAGTTTTTGGTGGCGAGGAGAACTATAAGCTATAATAAAAATAATACGCGGAATAAATATGTGAGATAGTAGTAGGTGGGCCATGCCTTCGGCATGTGGCCCCCCTAATTATACTGTTTGCCCGATCCACTGGTAAAAATGCTTGATGAAACAGAATTATAGAGCTAGAGAAAATATTGCACCATTTATGTTTGGCCTCTAGATGGAGGAATACATACATCCATCCAGTTTGAGCTCTGGTCTATTGGTAGCTTTGGTTCTAATCTAAGCTGAGTCAACCTGGTTTTGCAATTGTTTGTTTTTGTTCTGATGTAACTTAAGTGAATAGGTGGGATTTTCCATCTTTAATTTATAGTGAGACATTACAAGATTGGAGATCTGTTGGGGGTTTCCTGCTTTCCTGAAACAAGATTTTCCTAAAAGCAGCAACAAATAACCATAAAGTAAAGTTAAACAAGGCTGCCATTTTCTCACTTTTTTATTCTTGGCCACCATTACTGGTGTATCATTGTGGTAGTTCTTTAGACTGCTGTCGGCTCCACTCTTCAACAGCAGCCGGACTGTGTCCACCTGACCTCGGCCACATGCGATGTGGAGGGCTGTGTTCCCGCTGTAGGACTGGCTGTTAACGTCACATCCATTCTGTGGCAGAGAAACAGGAGACTGTGATTCATAGAGAAAACCAGACTAGCTTCAGTTGAAAATAAGAAGAAAAACAGTAAGGCCATTGCAGTTTTCATTTTTTTTTTTTATCAAAACGAGATAAGGCATAGAAAGTAGTTTCAAACGAAAGATAAGCAAAATCGAAAGATTTCTCCTCTTATGCACAGAATAGCAGGTATCCTCCAAGAAATAAGCAATCATCCGATGCTTTCCCTTTTTCTTTGAAATCGTCATGTATACACCAGAAAGAACCTAAGCAACAAACCAATGATATGGTATAAAGAGAAAGCAGGCCTTATTGAATGTGCAGTGTCTTGCGGCAATATTTAAATCTTTCAAAACTTTTAATTTACTTTATTAGAATTTTTGGAAACTCAAATATGAGACAAATACATCCTTGCACATCATTTGTAACATAAGTAAAATATACCTGTTGTTCGATTTTTGTTACAAATAAACACATGAAGCTGGTTTACAGAGTTAATTTGTTTTCAATCCCCATTTAATCTGACAAGCAAAATAATATCAAGCGCAAAAAATGATTGAATTATCTTAGTTCAGAAAGTCAAGTCCACCTGTGTGTAACTGAATCAAGTATAAATACAGCATTTTTGTGAAGACCTCAGAGATTATTGAGAGAACATCAGAAAACAAAAAGCTTAATGAAGACAGAGGAACCCACAAGAGAAGGATAAGCAAGGCTAGGTTTAAAACTGGACAAGACAGGTAAGGGTAAAATAATTTTAGATAAAGCAAACAGGCCAACGGTATGGAATCTCTAGAAGACCTGGAGATCCAAAACTCAGGTCCAAGAATCTGTACGGAAAGTTATTTTGCACTCCATGAATATGGCCTTTATGAAAGAGTGACAAGAATATCAGTATTCAAAGAAACCATGAGATATTTCTACAGGTGCTGGTCATAAAATTAGAATATCATGAAAAAGTAGATTGATTTCAGTAATTCCATTTAAAAAGTGAAACTTGTATATTATATTCATACATTACATACAAACTCATATATTTCATATGTTTATTTTGTTTAATTTTGATGATTACAAATGACAACAAATGAAAATCTCAAATTCATCATATCAGAAAATTAGAATATTGTGAAAAGGTTCAAAATTGATGGCCCCTGGTGCCACACTCTAATCAGCTAATTAACTCAAACCACCTGCAAAAGCCTTTAAATGGTCTTTCAGTCTAGTTCTATAGGCTACACAATCATGGGGAAGACTGCTGACTTGACAGTTGTCCAAAAGACGACCATCGACACCTTGCACAAGGAGGGCAAGACACAAAAGGTCATCGCTAAAGAGGCTGGCTGTTCACAGAGCTCAGTGTCCAAGCACATTAATAGAGAGGCGAAGGGAAGGAAAAGATGTGGTCGAAAAAAGTGTACAAGCAAGAGAGATAACCGCACCCTGGAGAGGATTGTGAAACAAAACCCCTTCAAAAATGTGGGGGAGATTCACAAAGAGTGGACTGCAGCTGGAGTGAGTGCTTCAAGAACCACCACACACAAACGTATGAAAGACATGGGTTTCTGCTGTCGCATTCCTTGTGTCAAGCCACTCTTGAACCACAGACAGCGTCAGAAGCGTCTTGCCTGGGCTAAAGAGAAACAGGACTGGACTGCTGGTGAGTGGTCCAAAGTCATGTTCTCTGATGAAAGTAAATTTTGCATTTCCTTTGGAAATCAAGGTCCCAGAGTCTGGAGGAAAAGAAGAGAGGCACTTCATCCACGTTGCTTGAAGTCCAGTGTAAAGTTTCCACAGTCAGTGATGGTTTGGGGTGCCATGTCATCTGCTGGTGTTGGTCCATTGTGTTTTCTGAGGACCAGGGTCAACGCAGCCACATACCAGGAAGTTTTAGAGCACTTCATGCTTCCTGCAGCTGACCAACTTTTTGGAGATGCAGATTTCATTTTCCAACAGGACTTGGCACCTGCACACAGTGCCAAAGCTACCAGTACCTGGTTGAAGGACCATGGTATCCCTGTTCTTAATTGGCCAGCAAACTCTCCTGACCTTAACCCCATAGAAAATCTATGGGGTATTGTGAAGAAGAAGATGCAATACACCAGACCCAACAATTCAGAAGAGCTAAAAGCCACTATTAGAGCAACCTGGGCTATCATAACACCTGAGCAGTGCCACAGACTGATCGACTCCATGCCACGCCGCATTGCTGCAGTAATACAGGCCAAAGGAGGCCAAACTAAATACTGAGTGCTGTACATGCTCATACTTTTCATGTTCATACTTTTCAGTTGGCCAACATTTCTATAAATCCTTTGTTTTTATTGGTCTTCAGTAATATTCTAATTTTCTGATATGATGAATTTGAGATTTTCATTTGTTGTCATTTGTAATCATCAAAATTAAACAAAATAAACATCTGAAATATATGAGTTTGTATGTAATGTATGAATATAATATACAAGTTTCACTTTTTAAATGGAATTACTGAAATCAATCTACTTTTTCATGATATTCTAATTTTATGACCAGCACCTGTATTTGGAGTCCACCACAAGCCACAAAGGGGACACCATGTTTAGTTAGATGAGTCCAAATGTAAACTTTCTGGCCTTCATGTAGAATTCTAACCTTGCAAATCTAAAGTCACCACTTCTGTCACAAAACACAGTGGTGAGAGTAGCATGCTGTGGGAAATGTTCCTTCTTTTGCAAGGTTGGGAAAGACATTTGGAGTTAGATCTAAAGATAGATAGAGCTAAAATCCATGGAAAAAAAAACACAAGAAGAAAACCTATGTGTGTGTTTGCCCCTCGGGGAAAAATAAAAAGATTTAATCTTAATGTATTTTACAAAGCATAGTTAAATATTAAACTCTCCAACCAATCTGTGAAAACCCTTAAAGAAAAAATAATGCTTTTAAAAAAATGCAGACATTGCAATCTGACTAATGTTGCATTTTGCAAACAAAAATGAACGACCTCCGTACACTTGCAGAGCTGGTACAGACATATCACAAAGGAAATTTGCAATAAAATTTGAGTTTACAAACTTTTATTGCAGGATGAAAAAATCTGAAAATCAGTCAAGGGGCTTAGATAGATTTTTTGAGACACTCTTAGTGCTTCACAACCTTTATCTTCAATTTGTGACCACAAAACTTAATTACCTCAATAAGGAAGTGCACCATATCTGCATTATTGCTTTCCACAGCATGTATGAGAGGACTCTGGCCACTCTTAATGTCCTGATAAGAAAAAGAAAAGTACATCAGCATTATAGAAAGTTAAAAATACAGATTCTTGACACCATGACCTTTAAATGCAGTTTAACCAAAAGTACAGAGTCTATGTAGTACATACTAACCATTGCATTGATATCAGCTCCTGCATCCAGCAGCATTTTGGTCAAATCATGATGGCCTTGCAGCACAGCCAAATGAAGTGGACTGAGACCTAGAAACAAGCAAAAACGGAGGTTGAAGTATTTGGTGCAACTTCTGAACTTGTAGAAATATATAATTTATAACAGTATTTGGATTTCAAGAATATAACTTGAAAATATATCAGAGTACCTGTAAGTCAGAAATTGTAATATTGTAATCACACATGTATGTGTCCACAGTCACTGTAACAAAATGATACCATGTATCTAAAGTTCTAACTCTCGAGCAAGCAAAGTCTGATTATTCAAGCCCAAGACTTGACAGATATAGTATAAAGAAGCAGGAAGTGTTCTGATCCCACCTACACAGCTCAATGCCTTCACCCCCCACCTGAAAATGGTTGACCTTTCTTACAGAACGATTATGAGGGGGTGGTTATTCATTTCATAGGTTTTACTCATAATACTAATAGTATACCACTATTATACTATTATACTGAATCTAGTCAGTCCCGTGGCTGCAGGTGTATAAAATTCTACAAACATTTGTGAAAAACTGGAGCTTAGTAAAAACTAGCGGGGTACTGTGATAGGATACCACCTTAACAACAAGTGCATTGGTGAGATTTGCCCAGTATAACATACATTAACAAGCCTCATGTAAATGTGATGACATGTTGGTTCCCTATTTACATTACCGAAGGGTGACTCTAACTTTCAAATCAAATCAAATCAAATCAAATCAAATGTATTTGTATAGCCCTTTATAATAGCCAAATGGTACCCAATGTGCTTTACAACAAAGCCATAAAACAATACATAACACATATAAAACATACAGATACAATTAAAAGTGCTGTAGTGGTGCAGCGCTGCAGGACATTAAAAGCCTTCCAGAGGTGCATAGAAAGGAGCACACAGAAAGAGGATATCTAAGACAGTATTATCCTACAGTAGTCAGAATTAAATGCTAATTTAAAAAAGTGGGTGTTAAGCTTTTTTTTTTTTTAAAGGCTGAGGTCAGTAGTGGTGTGGATGTCAGGGGGTAGTTTGTTCCACAGTCTGGGAGCAGCCACGGGAAAAGAACGATCGCCCCACTGTTTGAGTCTTGACCTAGGGACTCTAACAGAAGCTGACCCGAGGAGCGTAAAGCTCTGCCACAGAGCTTTACGCTCTGTGGCTATCATATAGTGCATCTTATGAAAACAAATGCAAATTAAGAACAAACTATAAAAATAGTTTATGCAACATCAAAAATGTAAAAACTTCAAAAGGAGAAAAAAAAGGATTTCTGAGGTTGCTCTGAAAAGGATTTTGTGGCAGCGACTTAAAAGAAAAGAAAAATGTGGGAACTGAGAAAAAGACAAAAGTTATGTCCTATTTTAAAAGAGACACAGATAATCCTACAAAGTCCTCTTATAGTAAAAGGAACTTCCACATCCAATCCAGAGAATTATTTTGGGATTTAAACAAAGAGTTTTTAAATACCTGGTATTGGATTGCCAGACTAAACTCAAATCTCACTCTGTTATTGCTTTGTGTGCCTTTATGTTGACTACGCCCCCTGAGAGAGCTGCACAAACTCTGATATTTGTGCACAGTATTCAAAACTATATTATTATGTGCACTACTTTGTTTACTTACCTAACTGGATTTTCCCCAAACAATTTCACTCTTAAATTCACACTGAAAGAAATAAAATATTGTTCTCTGCCATACCTATCCATCTGACCAATGTGTACTGCTCTGTGATTTTTTTTTTGTTAGTGGGAGAACTGGGTAAAGTGCTGCTATAAGTCATACATTCACTAATCACCATTTTCTTCCAATATGAGCCCCATTCAATTATCAAGCAGCCATACCAAAAGTAATGGGAAACTTATTTAAGACAACATATTAGCATTAGCCTTGGAGTTCAGCAAACTGCAAAGAAAAAATACCAGCTGGAGCTAAAGACAAAAGTTTATTGATGACTGTGTTTCAGGTTGAAGGTATTGACTTTCCCAATTTTTTTATAAGACCCCCCTCTGCACTTTAAAAAAAAGTTATCATGCACAACCCTGTACCTGTTCCCGATAGGGAACGTATTTTAAGCGTTGGTGAGAGCGTGCATGAGCCCATTTCTCCTGTGCGCGCTCTGTTAAAAAGTTTCTGTTTGCATCGCTCATACAAGCTTACTTGATAAAAGAAGGCTGACAATTGTTTTCTCTATGTCAGACTCAACACTGGTAAGTGAAAATAGGAACGAGCATGTAGGACGGCCTTCACGTAAACGTATCACCAGAATGATTGACAATTAGGAGAACCACTAATTTTGATGATCCACTCGGAAAAAGAACATCCTCCACTATACCTTTAAGTTGCAAACAGGGTAGAACAAAATATGTAGCACAAATATTTGTATTGTTGCAACACAAAACAGTCACTGCAGCATCCCGAACATCATTGGTAAATAAGCTAAATGAGTCAATAAGACTAATTCTGAGGATGCTGATCAAATCTAATGCATTATGTTATTGTGATTAAAAACAATTTTGATGTCAACCATATAATGGTTCTAGTTTACATTCTAAAATAGAAACCAATCACAGATTCAGTTTGTGGGTGTTTTGTTGTGAAGGGAGATGTCATATTATAGCTTCCATGTATTTGCTTTTGCATTTTATAGCAAAAAAGCGTGAATATCATAACTCACCTTCAAAATTCCTGATCTCCAGGCATGGGGAGGACGACGACAAAGACAGCAGTACAGACAGGCAGTCAAGCTGCTGATATTCACAGCAGAGATGGTGTGCTGTTTGGCCATGGCGGTCCAAGACTGCAGGGTCGGCCCCAGCTCTCAATAAAACCTCGACTATGTTTGCTTGCTTGGTTATCACCGCCAGATGAAGAGGGGTCTGAAATAGAGAAAAAAATATACAAACACCTAAAATAAATAGAATTACACCAAATTAACAACATGAATAGAAATTTGAAGAAACTAGTCCTAAAAATCAAATATATAAAATTATTTATTTGCAAATGCATAGACTTGTGCCTTACAGAACATCTGACAGCTTCTCCTCTCTTCTATCATTTCTAATGCAAATACTATTTCACAGAACATACTGTCAAGATCAATTGTTTATCACACCATGCAGAACAGAGTTCACTACAAGGTGCATATGGTTTAGAACAGCAAAGTTTCGCTTGAACGGTAGTTTAAGATCTTGTAAAAATGGATGCCTCTGGTTGAGGTCTGCATGAATCATCGCAATTATAATGTCCAATGTGGCTACGAGGGGTACATACTGCCTGCTGTTTTAAATTAGAGCAACAATCGGTCCCTAATGTGTCATAAAGGGAAGTCTTTTATTATGGAATTTTTAGCTGCTATTCACAAAAAAGAAAAAAAAGAAAAAAAATTAAGCAATCAGGAACAAACGGTTTTTCAAAGTTTCACTTTGGCTGAATAAGTAATGTGTGTATGTGGGCACGCATGTGTATGAGAGAACACGCACTTGACTGTTCCAGTAAAAAATAAAAATACTTCAGCTATGTAAGAGCCGATTTGTGGAATTCCTTCTTTGTGTCGAAGTATATGTCCCTCCCTTCAACCCTAGTTTCTCTGAATCCTATGAGTCACCCAAACAGACAAGAAAATATCAGAAACTATTTCCTCAAGTCTGTAAACTTGAAAAAAAATGAAATCATTGTTAAAGAACCTTTGACAGTAAGCCAAGTCGTGAGCAGAAGAAGAAAACATTTTTTTTTCTTTTAGATCTGCTCTGTCCCTAATTTGGGCCTTTCAACTCTTAGAGCATAAAACTACATTTATGCTCCTGGTTCAAAGTTTGGTATAGACATTGCAAAGACATTGCAGGCATTTTTGTTGAAAGTTGTGGAATTTTGTCTACTGCTGTTTTTGGACATTGTATATTATTGGGTGTGACATTGAAACAATATATTTTTTTTTATATTAAGAACCCTGACAATAAAAGATCAGCCATATATAATGGTTTCCAAGTGATGAGAAAAATATAAGCTGAATTAATAACAGGTCAAGCCACCAGTTTCACTTTCAGTTTCACACATTCTTTATGTTGAGGTCATAAATATTAATGCAGACAGTTTGGCTTAAATGAGTTTTACAGAATTAAATAATGTCAATGCAGTGACAGTTGCTTAGCAGTTAAGTAATGTTTAATTTAACTGCAGTACATAGGCTAGCAGAATTGTGGGACTGAGGTATAAGGATTCCAAAAGAAAAAGTTGTGAATGCTTTAGTGGAAAAAACTAAGAAATGATTCATCACTATGAAATGATTGTGCACTGTCAATGGTTTTACATAAAGACTATAGCATATACAATGCATTTTCTTGCCACACCAGGGGAGTCTGGTCTGTTACACTAAGACTAAGGAGAGTCTTAGTGTAACAGTTTCAAGAGTTAAATGCTTTAGCTGATTCAAGAAGAGGAACTATGTTCAACTGAAGTGCGGACTACAGAAATACTTGAAATACTACGAAAAAAAATGTTATTATTAGGTCTGCTATTTAAGTTGCTTCCCAGCATTTCAAGTGTCGGTTTATTCTACACCTCCCAATTATTGAAACCTTTGTGATTATTGTAATTCCAGTTTTTTTTGTATGCATTTACTTGGATAGAAGAAATGTTAGGATTTGTTTCCATAAGGCTAGTACTTTGCAACCTTGTATGTTTTTTTTCTTTCAGATACACACAGTGGAGTTTTAACAAAACTTTTAAATTGTAGATTGTTGAGACATAACCGACACAGAGTGTTTTCTTTTTAAATATATAGTATGCAGCATATGAGATTTCATTAGCCATCTTTGTATTAAAAAAAATCTTTATCAATGCATTACTCTTTTCACGTTCTCTCTTCCTTACTTTGTGATTTATGACTGTGTAATACTCTTCTTACAGCGTAGTCTATCCAAATGATTAAACGACTCAGAGAACAAAGAATCCTCCAAAGCCTATTATGGCCATTCAAAACAAACCAGTGAAAGAATCAAGCAATAGCTTCCTGTAAAAGGACTTCACAGTGACCAAAACAAAAATTCCACTTTTGATGATAAGAGCTTGGTTGGAAAGGGAGTGTAGGGAGAACAGGGGTGGGGAGGGAAAAGAATGAGGAAAAGAGGAAGCGGTGGAGGGTAGTCCAGGGGAAAGGCAGGATAAAAGGGAAAATCCCTTCTCTTTCCCCTTTAGTGTGTTCTGGTATACAAACATTCCTGCAAAATGAACCAATCAACATGTGTGAGGGTAAAAGACAAGGAGAAAAAGTTTATGGGCATGAACGCCCAAGGCCTTAGGCAGGGCAAAACAGACACAAACATGAAATGTATCAAGGAAGAGATAAAGGCCTCCTGCAATGCACACTGTGAAGCCAATCATGTTGCACAAATAATCACACGCTCTTACGTCAGTATTGTTGACAGTTATGCTGATAGCATCAGACAGTTTATCAGTTCTGGTTAGAAACGGAGGTCTCAAAAATATATCCGCAGCAACGGATCTGAAAAAACCAATAGTGAGAGAGTGAGGCTGACAGACAGAGAAGCACGCGCAGGAAGGGAAAGTCCCTGTAAACTACCCTCTGAACCTCAGCGCAAGGTATGTTGAGAAACAGCCCTAAGCATTGCAGGCAGGCGGGAGGGGGGGTCATGTGACTTCTCGGAACAAGGATACTTAAACACACAAACACATGGACGTTTTGTTTGTGCACACGCACACACACGTACACCCTTGAACGAAGAAAAAAGGCATGCCACGGACATGCTGTAAACTATGAAGAAGCATTTAAGAATGACAGGGCATGTGCATATAGCTGCTAGCTGGCAATGCGAAGGAAGTGTCTTATCAAGCCCAACCAATTTCAATTGCATTACCATGCACAACAGTCTGCTGTCAAGCCCCTGCAGGGGATGAAACAAAACAAAAAACAACTGTGTGTTTTGGTTGGCAAACTGATAGCATGGCCGGCGTGGGAGTAACAAACAGCTGGCTCTAAACCATTCATGTGGAAGGCAAATCATGCACAGACAATTGCATTGCCGTCCAACAACGGTACCGATAGTAACACTCTGTCAAAAAGTTCCACATGCAAAACCACAGAAACCCAGGATTTTCATCAATATTGGAAAAAAGGCTGCATATCATTTCAAGTCTTTGGGAAGTTGCCTAATGCTGGAAACTGTGTTCAACTTTGTCAACTATGTTTTTTTTTTCTTCTTTTGAAAGTAAACAGTTCCCTGGCCTCATTTAGATAAGTGTGTTCTCTCTGCCTGGTATTCAGTCAAAACCACAAAATCTGGTAGGCAAATGACTATGATGGGACCTGAGCCTGTGAATCTCCCCTTTGGTTATAATTGTATATAACACACTAAGTGTGTGTGTCTGTGTGTTTGTATGCCTCTGCAGGAGGTGTGTGTGAGAGTGCGTTGCGTGCAAGCATTTTCATACACAGGGTAGACACAGGATATCACAAAACCTATGCTGTCAAGCCTCAGCGATAAGGAAAAAGAACAGCCGATGATAGCACCGGCATTATTTCTGGTAAGTATGCCTGCAGCGTCCTTTGTGGTGTGAAACCCCAGCCCTGAGAACGACAGCTCTTTTACAGCTCAGGTGTTTTTTTTTCTTAGTTGAAGGATGAAAAAGAAACAGCTGGCACAGAGCAGATAAGGAAGGCAATGAGGTTAAAATGTGGTAAAAAGGGAGATGGAATGTGGAAGTATTGTCTTAATAGAGGTGTTTGGGAAAGGCCTGGATTGGGAAACACTCAAAGGCAATTCATTGAGCATATTCCAGTATTTTTTTAGGAGACATTATTTCAGAGGAAGTGCTTTTGATCTCTAACATTTTCGATATGAGTGCAATGTCCAAAAACTTTCTTTTACAATGTCAATAAAAAGCCTCAACATACACTTAAGAATGCATGCAAACAACGGCACAGTGATTTTCCCTTTTTTTTTTTTTTACTTACGGCATACAGAGTTTAACATCTGCAAAGGTTATTGATAATTACATGTCAAAGGACATCGGATTACAATCCCTAGAAAAAAAATCTGTTCTTTCTGGGGAAAGTGATTGCTAAAACAATATGTGCATTAGGCATAAAAAAACAGGATATTGGAAAGCACACAAGGCCTTCCCAGAATGCTCATTACTTTGGTTTAGGTGGAGAGTTCAGGAAAGGTAAATTCCAATGCATAAGCCTCCGACACCAGGCCTAGAAAATAATTTAATAACACATCACAAGCAAAGGACAAAAAAAGAGCACTTCTTCTTTCAATCTCTATCCAGCAACTTTTCAACTTTTATTAGAAGATGTGTTTTATATACTGCATTATTCAGCAAGATGTGCAAATACTTCTTAATCTTTTTAAAGTATCAAAATTATGTTAATTTGAATTATAATGGTATAAATGTATGAACAGAGATGCACATTATACATAAAGATATTCAACAGTAATATTCACAGAATCAAAGTTGATGCTTCTGGGGCGACCAACTGCAAATCGCTTCCGCAAGTTTGAGGGACAAATCTAAGTCAAGTACACTCAAGTCTTTCACTGCATGAAAAGTGGGATTTTCGTCAATATGCGGCACTGTAGATTGTCGTGGAACTTCAGGTTAGCGGCAGTTTACGACAATTTGCAGGCTTCGCCGAAAACTCCCGTAAATTGTCAGAAATTGACGTGGACTCTCTTAGGCAGTGTTCCCCCCATGCCTCCCCCCCATGGAATTCTAGGGGAGGCTTTAACATGCTGTGAGCTATACAAATGCAAACCAGGGTTGCAGGGGGGGTTTTACCCCAAGTGACATCTTTCTGGGTAAGAAATTCTCTGATACAAAGAGATCAGGCTTAGTATAGCCTCTTACATTTTAG